CTACATTCCTGCTCCTTGATGCTATGTAGTAAACTATGACTAAATGCATGATGGAAATTGTGTTTCATTGTATTACAATGCAACTGATGGATTTACCTTTTATGATATTTGCGAAATTATGATATTAATTTGATAATATTCTTTTCTGCATCACTTCTTACATGGTCCAACAAAAGTGTCATGAATGATTTTGCGCTCATTCCTTCTGCTTGATTTGCAGAATTGATGAAGAGCAAGCAATAGAGGATTCTGAAGATGGTCCGCCGGAATTGCTTTTTATTCATGGGGGTCACACAAGTAAAATATCCGACTTCTCGTGGAACCCATGTGAAGATTGGGTCATTGCTAGTGTCGCTGAGGATAACATTCTTCAGATATGGCAGATGGCAGAGAACATCTACCATGATGAAGATGATTTGCCGGAGGAATCCACAAAGGCTTCTTAATTTTAGGTTGGTGAAATTGAGTAGTCAAAGGAGGAGAAAAAAAAAAAAAAAAAACGATTAGAAAATGGCGTTACTAGGAATTTTCTTTTATTTATTTCCTCTGTAATATTTTCACGATCCTTTCGCCCCTTATACTACATGTGAAAATGGGTATTCTGTTTGCTCAGCAAGTAATGAAACAAATCACTTGTACTGATTGACCCGTGTACGTTGATTAAATGCTTAATTTGGTGGAGAAAATGTTAATTTATTTTAATACGCTTTGATGTCTTTTTGGAAAACATGGTTGACTCGTCTGACCAGATTTTGGCACAAACTTAACATACTTGTTATTCATCGTGTGATTAGTAACCTGTTTTAAATGGCAGTTCAGAATGAATATGCTCGAGTGTGAAGGAATGGGGTAAACCGGTATTAGGGTCCGTTTAGAATAGTTTGGATAATGTATGAAAAAGAGCTTTTGAATCTATCTAGATGAATAGGTGAAAACACTTGTTTAATTGTTACAAAACCTAATGTTATATAAGAATATTGACAGTATTTTTAATTTATTGCTCACAAATAAAAGGTTAAAATATAAATAAAAAAGCTTTTCAATTTTTTTTTTTTTTTTTTGTTTTTTTTTTGTTTAAGGTGTCGACAACATGCTTGCCTTGCCTGTACTATTCTATATATAGTCTATTGACCAGCCTTTTGTAGTATATAGTAAAAATAATATAAAAAAAGGTCTTCATAATTACCCCCCCTATAACCCCCTATGATTTATATCTCCTTTTCTTCCTACTATATTAAATCCAAAGAGATTATTTTATCTCATCTACATTGCTGATTGTACTTATCTTGGTCCATGTTTTTAATTAGAATTTAGAAACCTTACGTGGTGTGGCCAATCTCATTGTTTCTACCGTCCAATAAAATTAATCAATATTTATGTGCAACACAAATTTGCCATTGTGACCGTGACTTCTGAAAGGAACAATGTCCTCGAGAGTACGCAGCAAGCAAACGTTGCGGTTGGTGCCGACTGTATATTCCCACCTTTATTTACTATTTAAATTTAAATACATAGCTTGTTTCGCAATGGTGCATTTGAAGCTTGTCTTTTGTGTGTTTAGAAAAAAGATTTGTGTCATAGTTTGAATTATGGTTCGTGATTCGCTACAGTATTTTTTCTCATAGAATGTACACATGAAATGAAAATGATTTTAAATCATAATTTTAAATCCATAATCCAAACGCCTACCACTTTTTTGTAATAATTCATTTTTGATGGATGGTCATAGAATGCCCAACGTTTTCTGCACAAAAATACATCCAAAACTTCCAAGTTGGATTTTGCTAATTTGAACATTTAGGACAAATATTACCTTCTCTTATCCACCCATTAAATTACATTATAAAAAATTGAAAGAATGTTACATCTAATTAATATCATCTAAACTTTCATTAAAAAAATCATATAAACTAAAAAAAATTGCAAAACTGACAAATTCCGCGGATATGGTCGGTAGGATTTTTATTTTATAGAATTTTTATCTCATACATGTTATTAAAATCACTAAGAAATACGACCAATATATGTATGTATACAATAAAAAAAAAAAATCAGCTTAATTGTAGTGGTGGTGTTGTGTAGAACTAGAAAGTGAAAAGAGCTCACGAACAACACACGTCGGCTTAATTATGAGTTATTCTTTTAGAGTGTAACTTGAGTATAATTTGAGTGTAATTTTTGAGTTGAATTTGAGTTATAACTTGAGTTGAAGTTGTAACTTGAATAAAGTTGAGTGAAGTTGAATAAAGTTAGAACTTAAAAGAACGTGAACTTGAATAAAATTGTAACTTGAGTTTAAACTTTTTCTGAGTTTTGTTGCAAAAGAACAACCCCTTATTTTTCGTACAATTAATTAAACTAATCCTCCCAAAACCCCATATTATAACATGGCGTTCTCTGATTTCTCTTCCAATTTTCAAACTTAAAAACCCATTAAAAGGTCTTAATTCAAGAATTAATGATAAAAACTCCACTTTTCTTCCCCTCCACTCACCCTCTCTTCGCTTTCAAACCTCATTAAACCCTCTTTTAACTTTTCCTTTCTCTCTCTCCTCTTTCTTTCTCTCTCTAAAAAAAGCCGAAGGAAAAGCAGTGGGAGAGGACTGAGAGAGGAGAAGAAGCCCAACATAAATTTTCCGCCCTCCCAGAAAAAGCCAAAAAGAAAAGAAAACTCAAATCTCTCCCTCTTTTTTTTTTCCCTCTCTCTTCGGAACCCTAGGAGAGAGAAATTTTGCGAAGAACCGACGAAGAAGATGGGCCAGAAGTCGCTGATCTACGCGTTCGTCTCTCGAGGGACTGTGATTCTCTCGGAGTACACGGAATTCAGCGGCAATTTCAACTCAATAGCTTTTCAATGCCTCCAGAAGCTTCCCGCCGCCAACAACAAGTTCACTTACAACTGCGATGGCCATACCTTCAATTACCTCGTCGACAATGGCTACAGTACGTTATCTTCTTTCCTTCCGTTTGGTTCCTGAGAAAATTCTTGGTAGAGTTAGAAGATCGATATGCGGTTGGGAATTTACCTGATGGGCAATGTGTTACGCTGCTTTCGTGATGTTCATTTTTTTTTCCCCTAAATCTTGAGATTTTGTTTTGGCTTTTTCTTTAATGTTTCATTTTAGATCGGTTTTAATTTGATTGCTCTCTTGACGAACTGAGGTTAATTTCAACTGTTGCGATCTGGCGTTGGTGCGACGAAATGGAGATTTGGGGCTGTGTGTTATATTTCGTCTTAACGTGATAAGGCCGAAAATTTTATGGAGCGGACGGGAAGTCCTTAAGAAGGAACAACAAAGAAAGAAGAAGATAAGAACCAAAGATTTTAGGGAAACAATGTAGAGAAAGAGACATAAAGTTGTTGAGTATTTTGTTTTTTAATTTTTTTGTAGTTGATTAATTTAGGACCTTATTTGGTAGTTTGGCTGATTGATTCCGGGAAATGAAGCTTTACATATTCCCTTAGGTTAACTTGAATTTCTATATAAGCAAACAATTAAAGCATCACGAAGTTTATATTTTTGGTATCGTGTATATGATAGCATAGTGCAAGTATTTATGGTATTCCTCGACCCGTTTTTACACCTCTAATTTAGATATGGCTGACACATAATAAAACTAAAGAATGCTCGTGAATTAGTATATGAAGTTGTTTATCGAAGAGCATGAAAATTAATGTCTGGATCAATGCTTAGATTTTAATTTGTTTGGCAGAATTGTTGTGAACTTTCTAATTTAGTGAACTTCTAAATTATTTAAAGAACTTTGGAACGCCATGACATAATAGTGTGGCTTAATAGTTAAATGAATATATTTATTTGAGTAGCATTAATAAATTATTATTTTTTATTATTGACTGAAGCTGGTTGATGTTGCAGCATATTGTGTGGTTGCTGATGAATCAGTTGGAAGACAAGTACCTCTTGCTTTTCTAGAGCGTGTCAAGGATGATTTTGTGTCAAAATATGGTGCTGGCAAGGCTTCCACAGCTGCTGCAAACAGTCTTAACAAGGAGTTTGGGTATTGTACTCTCTTTTAGATAATATAATAACATGTTGAATGTATTCTTTCTTGTTAAAGAACCTGACATACCTTATCTGTTTATTTCAGACCAAAATTGAAGGAACATATGCAGTACTGTGTGGATCATCCTGAGGAGATTAGCAAGCTTGCAAAGGTGAAGGCCCAGGTTTCAGAAGTTAAAGGTGTTATGATGGAGAATATTGAAAAGGTAGATGTGCCATCGACTTTAACTTGAATAGACAGATTCTCACCTTGAAGCATTTATATGTATTTTATTGTTAGAAGCAAAATTCCTGAAAATGAGAATTCCTAAATTGACTTAAAAACCCAAAACATTTGCCAAAATGTTGAAATAGACTGCAGAAAGAGTCTTCGCACGAATCCATTGTAGGCTAGAACCTAAACACCTTAATTGGAGGTTTTGTTATCTAAAAATAACTGGAAGGTTTAAGTGGTATACTATTTTCCTCAAAACTTGGGACATAGGGTGTGAGGGCTTTCTACATCTTAATGGACCGATATTGAATACATTTTTGAAGTTGAGAACTTCATGAGATATGAAAACTTTGTTATTTCTATGTAACATTTTGATTTTAGTTCCTTTTGTTTGTTCTGATAAACAGAAAGTAAGGATGATTTAGAAGGCAATTTTAAGGTAGATAAACTACTGTATCAGCCTGTAGTTTTAACTTTTACCGCTTTCAGGATCGAGTGATCCCAATCACAGTTTGATAGAAGACTTCTTATCGTTATTGATGTATATAGGAGACTTATGTTCAAAACTGCTTTAGGTTAGGGACTCAATGAATAGGTTTAGCTTAGGTGAAAAAGAAAAGGTAATGACACAGGAAATTGAAACAAAAGAAGCAAACTATGTCCAGCGTATGTCTTAACAAAGTGGCACTTGTTGAAGACTATTAAACAGATGGTAGCAGGCCTGACTTATTTGTAGTATTAATATTTAGATCCACAAAACTGGATCCACCCTGTTCCATTCATGGGGAATAATTTAGAACTGAACTGCGGTAGGCATGAGTTTGATAAGAACTGAAGTGTGGTAGGCATGAGCTGAAGTTGGAACATGTAAACCGCTTGCAGGTTAAACGATTCCTTGTGCTAGTCTGCCTTTCCGCTGCTTTAATGATTGTTTTTATGTTGTTTTTATTTTCTTTGTTTTTTACTTTTTTTGGTTTGTTGGAATTGACATCTCAAGTTTGCCTTCAGGTTCCCGTTTTTTTTTTTTTTTTGGTTATTTTAATATTATTGTTCTTTTTATAAAATGACTGCATTTAAAAGCAGAACTTCCCAACTCAGAGAAGATTAGTCTCTCTTTTTCCTGTATAATTTGTTAAAATTTCTATCGACATTCTCGTTTATTATTTCCATTGATTCTTCGAGGCAAAGTTAATTAGAATAGCCCGTAAAATCACAAGCTTTCTAAACTTATTGTTTGTGTTGAGGTTGAGCTATTTCCACAGGCGTGCAGAAGTTGTGTTTGTCTTGAAATTTGTTTCTTTCATTTCTTCTCGATTGATATTTTGCAGGATAGTCCTTAAACTCCTTTTTATTTTTATGCAGGTTCTTGACAGAGGGGAAAAGATAGAACTTCTGGTTGATAAGACTGAGAACCTTCATCAACAGGTCAATTGTGCTCTCTGTCTCTGTATATGCATTATGACCAAAATTTTGGTTTTAAATATGAGGCAAGACGTAAAGGCCTATAAGGATTTCAAATTTGTGTACTTGTTTTTCTCTACACCCCTCTCTCTGCCTTTCTTTCAATTTGTATACTCGTTTTTGTTTACACCCCCGCCTATAAGGACTTGATTAAACTGGTTTTTTTTTTCCCTACACCACCTTTCCTTGCCCTCTCTTAAGTCTCTTAATTTATAATTTTATGTACTGGCTTTTACCTACACCCCCATCCTGCCCTCTCTCAACCGGTCAGAAGTTCTATCTATGCATGCATCATTATGTATGTAATTTTAACTTTTGAATTAATGAAGTTTGGAAGTCAAGGCTTTGATGTAGTTGAAATCTGTAAACTTACTCTTTGCACTTTTATTATAACTTGATCTGCCAAGTTTTGGGTCGTTTCAACTTTCAAGGACCAAGGTTTTATCATTAACTTGCATTAAATAAATAGGTTAAGAAGTTTTCTCTGTTGTGTGAATGCAAAAACAGGTTCAAAATTTGGTGAGAAGAAAGTTTGTTGTTGTACTAGAATTTACAAGAGTGGTGCTTGGATAAAGATATAATGTATAATTTGAAATTAGTTACAATTTATGCTTTTCTCACTTGATGAATATTAATTTGAATACAGGCACAAGACTTCCGAACTGCAGGGACGAAGATTCGAAGGAAAATGTGGTTGAAGAACATGAAGATCAAACTGATTGTTTTGGGCATCCTTATTGCGTTGATCCTCATCATAGTCCTCTCTGTATGCCATGGTTTTAACTGTGGAAAGTGAGCGTTTTTCTCGGGGAGGCTTTTGATCATGTTGATCAATCAATCTTTTGCGATTATTGTATAAGATAAAAACATTCCCATTGTATGTAGTGGAAAAAGGCAGCTATATCCAGGTATTTGGCACAAAGAAACCTAAAATATTGTGTGAATGGATAATATATAAGTTTTTGTTCTGAAATACTTTCCAGAAGAAGGTCTAAAAAAATGAATCCCTTATCGCTCTTACAAAATGAAGTTTGTTTTGATTTGAGATTGTTAGTTTGCGGTTTATATACTGCCTATTGTATAATAAAATATCTTAGTGAGCAACTTTTATCTCAAAGCAATGATACGTTGTTCTTCTGAATTTAAACTATTTCAGACTGTTGGTTATTTCGAAACTCCTTGGTTACTGTTTTATAGGAATTGAAATACTTTGAGTGGGATTTTATTTTCTTTTGGAAGGAGTTTATTTTAGTTTGAATGCATGATTTTGCATAGAGATGTCAATTGGGCTGGGCCGCTCATCAAGCATGATGACACGGCACAAAAAATTTTTGGGCCGGGCACGGCATAACACGAGATTATAATGGGCTAAGCTAAGCACGACATGAGGTGATGGGTTATGTAGAGTTCATAATTTTTGATACGTGGACCTAACACGATAACAAACACGAGCACAACATTCAACTGATTAGGGGAACTAACTTGGCTGATTTTTTTTATTTTCCTCCACTTAGAGAGGAACTGGCATTCAGCTGAAGGCGTGTTTAGTTGGGGGTAAGAGAATGCAATGCAATGGCCATGAACCCAAATGGGTGGAATAGGCATTCTGCGTTGAGCAGCCTTATACAGTCCTGTCGGACAAGTGGTCCCGTCACTGGTGGTCCACACACGGAGCTCATCACTTGTGAGTGAGACCCGCTACGGTTGAGTGATTGGGCTACTGTCGCGGGATGAAAAGTGTTTTACTTCCCCATTCATTTGGATAAATTCATTCCATTACACACACATATATATTCATCATAATATTCCCTCAGATTAGACCTATCAATGATGTGAGGTTCGCAAACCTGCTCAAAACTGCATAAACCGCTTCATCTCAACTGAATAGTGGACTTCCGCTCAAATGTTGTGGGCTGCTAAGTGTTCTCGACCTACAGTCTCAACTCAACCCATAACATTTAGGTTTTATTCGCTTCGCGGATTCGAATTTTTAATTTAAGTTGATATATGATATTGTTTGAGAGTTTTTAATTATAGTAAAAAAAAGTTAAATGTGACATTTTCTGATAGTTTTTAACTGTAAAAGCTTAGAATTGAAACTTGAATTTGTGAAATAAACGAGAACTAAATAGTTGTAAAAATTAGACAGTATGATTTTTTTTTTTTTTTTTGTTAAAGTTGAATTAAAATATTACTTAGTTTTACAAATAACACTTATACGGCTGATTTTTTGAATTATATTTTTCAGCATTTCAAACATTACCACTTCAATTGATTTTGTTGTGTTGTTTTTCTTTTTAAAAAAAAAACTAATTTCCATGTTTTTCTCAAATTGCACTTAATTCATTAAGATTTCGAATTAACTTTTAGCACGTTACAGTGCTCTTTTCAAATTTTGTAAATTTAAATGAATCGCCTAATTCATATATAGCATATCACATATATATTGCTATCTCGTTTTGACTCCGTGCAAAACCTTTATTTTGGATATCGTAATTAGAAATATTTCATTAAATATTTTATTTTGGACTTGGTTGATTATTAATTTGCCTCGGACGAGTTGATTGTTGCTTGTAAATGCATTTTCTTTAACTTCACCGATCACCATTAGGCTCGTAGCGTTAACGGATGGATAGTTCACCAGATTCTTGACCCATGGGACTTAAGTTCGAGCCGTGGCATGCCCAAAATCATAAGTAGTTTTTAAAAATCTTGTTGCCTTGCTTCAAGGCACCTGATTAGAACCATTTTAGTAGCCAAACAAAAATTTAAAAACCAGCGGGAAGAAAAAGCAGGAAAGCAATGTCCAAAACCCCAAAAAACACTTCTATGTATAATCAAAACCCCTTCCATCCCATTACTATTTTTTAACACAAGTTGGATGATTTTGATAGTCTTTTTCTTTAACAGAAAATGCAACGAAAACTATGCGATTACGTTTCCTTTCAAATCCCCAACAAACAGCAAAAGAATAGCAAGCAAAAATAACAAAACAAAAACTCTCTTACAGCCTATTGTCATTTGTTTTTAATCAACTTAAGAGACTTATCTTTTTTCATCTTTATCATTATCTTCATTACCTACAGCGTTAAAGTAATCGTTGCTATTCCCATTTCTGTTTCTATGACCATCCCAGCACACCCTTTTACCTCCTTTACTAACCCCACTCTTCAAATTCACTCCAATCTTAAACCTCACTTTCTCTCTCTCCTTTCCCAACTCCAAATTCCCATTCTCCACCGCCATATCCACTTTCTCCCCAGTCACACACTTCTCCAAACAATTTTCCCACAACTCCTCGCCGCTCCTCGATACGACGCCGCACTCGCCCGTCGTCGTCTCGGGGACTTCCGGCAGCCAATTCGGAATGTGCGCAGCTCTGAGAACCGAAAACCTTCCGACATTGTCGCAGGCCACTTTGACTGATCCCAATCGCCGCGGAATCGGCCTCGCGAATGGGGTCTCGACGGCGTAATCGACGTAATCGGCTATTTCAGCGAGATCACTCGATTTCAGGAGGCAAAAATCGGAGCGGCGGAAGTTGGAGGAGGAGCCGGAGATGCCGTGGGTAGTTCGGAGATCGCGGAGGGCGTTGGAGAGGTCGAAGAGGTTGGAGTCGGAGCGATTGGCGGCGGCGGCAAAGGCGGAGGAGGACTTGGCGATGGCTTGGAGGTACTTTGTGGCGACGACGGTTAGGGTATCGAGGGCGGAGAGCTGGGCGGACTTGAAACCCACGTATTGGCAGATCTGCGAAACGGCGATTCTGGCCACTGCGAAGCAGAAATCCGATGGGGATTCTGCTGTTGGACTTGGAGTCGCCATTGTTGGAGGTTTTGATTTTGATTTTGGTTTTGGTTTTGGTTTTGGTTTTGATTTCATGGTGGGATTTTGCGTTTGGAGGAGTTTCCGTTAAACCCTAAAAACTGGGTACACGAACTTTCTGAAAGGGAAAGAAAGTATGGTCGCTTTTAACAGGGTTTAGGATTTTCATTTTTCTTTTATTTTGGGATTTTATTTGTTTAATTTAATGACTGATTACTGATTACTGATTACTGATTACTGATTACTGATTAGTAGTTAGAAGTTAGAACCAAGACCATCCATCCATGAGACTTGGAAGGTGGGGGCGGGAATTCTTTTTTTTTGTTTTTGTTTTTGTACGGAGGCTTATTTGTGAAAAATCACAAAAAAATCCTGTGTTTCTTTGGGTAAATAGGCCCGAAAACCCAAAAGTTTACCAGTTAGTTCGAGAAAGGCCTAACTTGAACAAGGTCCAAGCCCGAACAAGCCTGATTTGACTTGAGCCCGATAGTAACTGTGTAAACTAGGGGACTTTACGGAAATATAAGAAATCAAAGGCTAAAATTGACTTTTGCCAAATAAGACATGTCATCATACTATCAAATGTATACCGGCGGTGAATGTGGCCAGTAAACCCTGAGATACCAGTGGTAACCGCACGTATCCACCGGTATCATTTCACATTATATCCGATGAATTTTACCATATTTTCTTACTTTATTCTTGAGTATTTTGTGCTTAGTTTGTTCTTTTGTGTTTTGTAGGCGTTTTGGTAGCTAAAGAGGACATGTTTAGGTGATTTTCAGTCGTCATGGCCGTGAAAACGGCCGCCGCGGCGCCACTAGAGCTGAAAACACGTCTCGGACCAGAGAGACTGGTGCTACAAATCAATGGGCGCTGTGGCGCCCACCCGCCTTCAACACGGTGCTGCAGCTCTGTATTCTTGGCGCCATGGCGCCTGCTGCTGTCACACTCCGTCTTGATTTCCATAGCACCGCGACGCTACGTACCAAGGAGCGCTACAACACTTCAATGCGAATAATTCCGTGTTTTTGAGCCAAAATTGCTCCGAGTTTGCCTATTTTGACCCCAACTCGGGAAACCTAAAATAATAGGTGATTCTAGTGCTGATTGAGACACTTTTTCCTTAGTTTTTCATAGCCATCTTTTAGAGAGAAAGAGAGAGAAGCAAGGAAGAATCCATTGGAGCTCAAGAAGATTTGTCGGCATAGAGAATTCTTGAAGATCATCATAGAGTTTTTATCTTTTCCTTCTTCCTCCTGAACTCGGGATGTCTTTAGTTTATTTTTCTTTGTTTGATTTTACAATCATATTAGACATGGATTTGTGATTGAATCTTGTGATTTTTTTTTTTTCTAATTTTTTGTTGAAATCGTTTATGTTATTCTTTGCTCAACTTTGAAGTCCCGTTAGTTACATTGTGCAAGTTGAGAGCTTTTTGTTAATCGAGAATTTTTCTCACGCTTCCTTGGATTCTAGTTATGAGGAAGTCGTGTTCTTCATGATAATTGTGTAGAAATGAGCCTTCATACTTGCCTTTGCTTCTCTATCAATCCCGAATGGACATGTTGAACTCCGAGTGGCTTCGCGTATATGTTTAGTAATGAATGACTCAGTAGAGGTACGATTAACTTTGTCGTATATGTCAAGTAACAAATCACTATGACACAACACGAGTGGCTCCATTGCCTCTGGTGAACTTTAATGGACATCATGATCTTTGTCGGTCGAGTGTTGATTGGCACGATCGATCTCAAATTGTTCTATCAAGTGATTTTATGTCTTTGTAAAAGTGCTAGTAAGCTTAATTTCTATCAAGATGTCATGAATGAGCATGACTTCCATCGGTAGGTGAGCGAGCAAAATCTCTTTGTTGAAGACATGATATGTAATATAGATCTCACTGAAAACCTTCTTAGTAAAATCCCATAAGCAGAACTTATAAAGGGAAAAAAAGTGTAGGGTGTTTGATATGAGGATTCATGTCATGATTCGAATTATGGTTCGTAGCTCACTACAGTATTTTTATTCACAAAAAATATACGTAAACCGAGAATGATTCTGAATCTATGAACCAAACGTCTATATAACGTTTGTCAGAAATAGACGCCAAGAGAACTAATCCAAGTTTATCAGCAACATAATTACCATTCATGTAATTGGGAGAAACCTTAACTTAGCAGCCCAAGAGATTACCCGACGCCATCTATTCCTATATTTCCACGACACTCGAGCAAAAGAAGAATTGAATATCTAATAACGACATGACTAGAATACATTCTTTAATCACATTCTACCCAAAGAATCTGCCAATGGAACTTCCAAACATTCTCAATAAGATACTAGCAATAAGAAGAGAGAGAAGTAAACAACATATTTGTTGTAAATAATGTCAATAAATGGCACGTTTTAAAAGTATTTGAAGTATATAACACATGTACATATAAATAATAAATTCACTTATTAAATAGATTATTTACCTAGTAAATTTTGCTATTATAAATTTCAAATATTTAAACCTGTTATTAACTTACTTTAATTTCGTAAAAGTTTATTTATAATACAACAAAAAACAAAAAAAGAGTAAATAAACAAGAACTCCCAATGTTATTAGAAAATCAATAATTATTTAATCATGTTATAGTTTATTTTAAAGCAATTTTTAAATTTTATAGCTAGATTGATGATGAGGTTATTTACCGACAAATTAAGTACTTTTGAATTTCAATATTTGTGAGGTTTCAAGCATTTTTGTTAGTTTGCCGTGTTTTTGTTAGAATAATTAATAAATGGGAAATTAGGTGAAAACAAGGAAAAAATTAGAGTTTTAGAAGCTATCGGGACGAGCCACGGATGAGGGCAAGAACCCACTCAAACCGTCGCGCGAAACGGGGCAAAAAACACTCAAGAGCAGCCCTGGGTAGGGGCTGGAGCGCGCTCACGGCAGGATGGGCATGAGGGGGTGCAACCTTCTGGGCGGCCGCGTGCACCAGGCATGCGCCATGCCCCTATTGTGCTGAAACGAGGTTTTTGGGTTTTTTTGGCCCTTGATTATAGTTGGCCATTTTTGACTTAGATGAAGTTATTCTCCAATTTTGGGCACATTTAAGCAAAAGAAACCTAGTTCCCAACTTGGAGAGGAGGAGAGGCACAAAAATTCCTAGAGAGAAGAGCTTGGAGTTGGAGATTCTTGAAGAATGCTTAGGAGAGATTCTTGAGGAGTTGAAGGCTTGAAGTTCATCTCCACAAGAGTGTTCTCTTCCTTCTCCCTTTTTCCTTTTCTTTGTAGTTTTTTCGTTAGTCTAGGTTGTTGTGAGTCTGAGAGGAGATCAACACTTAGATAATCTCATTGAGAGTCTAAGATATTGTGAGACCGAGAGATGATCAAGACCTTAATTATCAACTAGGATTTCGATTGTTGTGAGACCAGGAGGCGATCGACTTTTGAGTTCTATTTAAGGGCTAAACTTAATGAGTGTATAAGTAAATGGGTTAGAGAGGAATATTGATTCTGGTATTCATGCATATGATTTCGTTTGACGCTCAAGAGAGGTAGCGATGTTAGATTAGGTCCCTTGATTACTGATTTGAGTGGAATTGGCAAACATTGGCTTAATAAGATGAACATAGAAATGATAAGGTGAAGTCAAGTCCCCAGTACATTTGTGCATAAAAGTTTTCATATTTTATCTTATTTTTGTATCTATATTTGTTTAAGTTATATTTTATTTCATTTAGTTCGGTTGCCTAAATAAAATTGAGTTACGATAATCACAATACTTAGAAACACCGTACGCTTGCAGACAAGCATAGATCAAACAACAAAAGATGGAAACAAAAACAGAAGAAAAGGTGAGTTACATATTCCCGTTAAAAATGCTAAGGATAACAAGAAAAATGATTGCATTGATAATTGAATTAAATAAGGAAAAAATAAGACAAATTACCCTCAGAGTATATAAGTCTGAAATTTTATCACTTACTCTTAATTAATATTATTTTTAATCAAATAACTATATTAGTCAAAAGATATTAATAAAGAATAATGATAAAAATTCAAAGTCATAAGTTTAACAAGTTTCTCATTGAATAGCCGACATCATTTCTCCATTTACAACGTCGTTCAAATCAAGGAGAGCTGAGTCTTGATATGCTCTAACTGGTCTTCTAAGATATGTGTTGGTTGTGGGACCAAGAATGAAGAATGGAGCGGTCCAAAAAGCGACACTGCTCAACAATGGCAGAAAATCAACGTCGTTATGCTGATATCTAGAGTCCCAACTTTTATCCTTTCCACAAGAATATTTATGGAAGGGAAAATTTGTATGCTTCCAAAAGGTTTAGGCGTGAAGATAACGGTTGTAATTTGAACATTGTGGCATCGCTCTTAGCTACAGAAACACGCGGTAGGCATGTTTCCTGATATATTCATGATAAATCAAAGAAGATAAGTTCTATGATACATGTAGACAAGGAAAATGACCTTAGGTTTAGGTACGTCAATATATATATATATATATATATAAAGCCAAAAACCAAGTCGTTTTCTTCTTTTTTCTAAAGTTTTAGAGCCCGTTAAAACTTTCAAATCCGCCAACGATTATATTGGTCCACATGGGGAGACATGTACATAATTGTGATAAAAGTACGGGACTAATTATGACAACAATACTCTTATAAGCACAAAAAAATTGGCTGTCGTGCGCGTTTGCTTAGCAACCTCCGGGAGAGAAGTTCCAAGACAGCGACTGGCCCTGTCTCAATCAATTTATTGGTTTCACATTGTTTTGGTGTTCATTTTTTTCTTCTTTTCAAAAAGTGGAATGGAGCTAACTGCCGAGTACAGTGCTCATGTGAATTTTTATGAGTAAAAATACTGCAGTAAAAATTTGTATTGTGATTTAAACTAATAAAACGAATGGAATAAATTTATAATCTAATCATAATATAAAATATATATAGTAGCGAAACATTAATGTTGATGAACATTAGAATATACTAGAGCTAAAAAAGTAAAAAATATTTTATAAGTTCTAAAATAATATTTAAACAATG